TCTTCAGACTGATCTCCTGTGGACTCAGAAAAGGAGATTTCAGTCGGCCTAATAGAGGCTGTCATTTTCCCCGTTCAGCCGAAAGCCTCACACACGATTGTGTTGTGTGAAATATTCTAAAACCTTGAGACTTTTGAAAATGTGATTTTGTGTTTCCATTGTATCGTGTTATAAAAAGGCCGTCATTCTTAGAAAATAAAAGCATGACATTCTTCATTTGTGTAAAAAGTCTCCGAAAACAAGGTTTTTGGATGATTTCTTTAATCTTCTGTTTCTCAGAAAAGTCCTCAAATAAGATTTTGAAATTCCTTCTTAATTTGGAAAATTACTACATGATTTTGGATAAAAATTTATATTAAATTCAATTCAGTTGGATCCATGGGGAACTGAGCTGTCGTCTGGTATAATCTAACAGAAATATCTCAACGAATTGTGAGATATATTTCTATTATATCTCAAAATATATTGAGATATATTGAAATTACAGGGGTGTCTCAGTGTTGAGAGTTACAAATTAACAGGCTAGTTAGCAGCTAGGCTACCTAGCCAGTTAGTTAGCTAGCAAACTTGCAAGTTGTTAGCAAGTTTGCTTCGAAAGTTTGCTTACAAGCAATTTTGTTAGTACAAACTTGTCAGCAAACAGTTTGTGCTAGCATCTATCCTAAGTCATTCTCCCAATATCTAATATACTTTTAACTTTATATATTAATTAATAAAATTAGCTCTTGCCAACAGTTTCAATTAAATTACTAATTTTATTTAAAACAATGATGACCTTTACAGCTCTGACAGCTCGCAGTGCTAATTGTTGCTAACGACTAGGTGTAACATCACAGTTCTGGGAACGTTGTAACTGACGGCCATCTTGGTAGGTTTCCGTAACTGACTGTCATGACGGTTGCTATGGAGTTCCTATGACAACAATATACAAGCAGCATTCTGTGTTTCATATGCGTTTAGATCCCAACAGCAGCGATTTTGTGGACAAATCTCTCTGGCACATCGGCACTTTCTTTTTGTCGTTCTCAAAGTCATGGTTCATCCATGCTTTGCACCGCATTTACCTACCAAGATGGCGGTTCAGACTATGTTTTGTCCCACATTTTGATGTCAGGCTTTATGAATCTAGTTTAGGTTTCTGCATTCTGATTCGTGGGGTGGCAGAAGGAAAGTGCGAGTCCTCTTTAATTACACTGTTCATTAATGTGGCAAAAACATGACGCCTGTTCTAGCAGCTCTTAATCTTTATTTTACTTGAAAAAATACTCCTGTGTTTCTTGTTCTCACACAGTGTGTATCCTTGCAGAGCTCGATATCCTCTACATTATTTATGATGACTTGCATGAGCGGCAATGGTCCTGTTGAAATCACTACAGGGATTCCTTTACGCCTTGTGGAGCTCTGTAGTGGTCTCGTTCCAATGACCCAGTCTCTATTTTTATCAACTCGACAGCAGCTGACATGCTCTCTAAATAAGAAGGTACAACAAATCTTACCTATTTCGTTAGAATGAACCCATTTCTCAACATTTTGCTGAACTCTTTTATGGAGGAATTCTTCTGCCATAATTCGAGAGCAACACATTGTCAGTTCAAAAGCAGGACATTACAAGTCTTTCTTCTCCAAACTTATGTTAGTTCTCAAATATTTACTCTGCTTTCTCAAACCTTTTTCCTCACGCTCAAAACTTGTCTTTCCTCGGATGGAATGTCTCTGCTTGCTGGTGAATCATTTTCTGCTCACACTTGGAACACAAAAGTACCGTCGCTTGGCAAACTCTTTGCCAATAGAATGAAAGTGTTACAGTAGATAGATAGTCAGACAGACAGACAGACAGACAGATATTGTCCACACAAGCACACCGACTAGAAGGAAACAAACACACCAACTACAATACTTTGATTCTATTGGGTGAGAGGTTGCCAGGCGACAGTACTTTTCTGTTCCAAGTGCGAGCAGAGATTTGATTCGAGCAGAGACAAGTTTTGAGCGCTATGAGAAAGATTTGAGAGAGCAGAAGTTTTGAATACAAGTCTTGGGAAGAAAAGCATGAAATCCTGCTTTCAGGCTGAAAATGTTAGCTCTCAAATTATGGCAGGCAACTTCCCCCATACTCTTCTTGTTGCCTTAGAGGTCAACCAAACCGTTTTCTTATCTGTCATGCTCGTCGGTTTTTTCCTCTTCAGGAAGCCAGGCTGCCGTTTTTTCTCACCTCTGATGTTTATTTCACAAACATCATCCAGGATCAAATATTCCTCCTGTTTTTTGTATCCGGAGAAGCCAAATGTTAGTGAGAGATAACATGTAGAGGGAGTGGGAGGTGGGAAAAGAGATGGCTGCAGACTTGTTTATACGTCTTGATCTGACAGGATGAATAATTCAGCAAATAACTCTGTTGCACCCTGTGGGTTCTTTAAAAGCAAAGCTTTTTGAAGTAGGAGAACAAAAAGAGGCATAAATCTGGACGGCCGTAACAACAGCAGGCCGTGATTTCAGAAACCTATTTCAAAGTTCAAAATCTGATTTTGGATTCCCAGAGAAATTCAGGAGATTTCTCAAACTCACTGTGGGAAAGGAGATAAAGCTAAACTTGAAGCGCTCTGAAGTTTTCTGTCAGAACCTGGGCTTCAGTTACTTTCTCTTGATATTTATGGTTCTGAACAAACTGCTGCAAGACCAACTCAATATGCTGCGTTCTCTAGCTTCACTGCAGACTTCGAGTTTATATCTGAACATGGATACGAGAACAATTGACGCCTAAATGAGCTGCTGGTTATAAAACCTCAGCATTGCAGTTTCAAATCCAGCTTTTTTATCCGAACATGGTTAAAAAGCTGTGATTGTTGTGATTTTTAACACATATTTCTTGGTAAAATCAGATCAAGCAATCACATAAAAACATTTCTAGATGTCTAGTCATCTGAGGGAAACTCTTTGCTTTCTTTTTATTCACTTACATTTTTGGTTTCTTCAATAAATTCTTTGCTTTAAGAGCTTAAGGTCAATAATTTAATTTCATACTATCTGGAAACACAAAAAAATGTAAATAATCTGAATAATTCAGCTAAAACTAGCAATAGTTACAATCTGCATCATTTAATTACAACAAATATGTGTCTTCAGTCAGAGGCTTATTTAGAACCAGTGTAATACAGACTGCTACAGGAGGCATCACCATCTACAAAAACTCTTGGAAGAAAATTGTATGAGTTGCAGCAACATGTTATTTACGTTTAAGGATTAATAAAGTACTTTTGAATTTAATTTAATGTCACATGGTCTTTTAAAGTTTTTGTAAATGTCTGTTGTCTAATGTATTCGCAGCTGATTATATTACTGGAGAGGAAATAATCGATTACATTGGTACATATACCCTTAAGTTGCAAAGCTGAAATTGGTTTCTGATTGTGGGAAATGGCTAAAGGGCGATTCCACTAAATTTTTCGCTACCTTAAGTATCTTTTACCTACTTTAGTAAAAACCTACAGCATCTTCTCTCTGTTACCTGAACTAGATTATTTTGCTACAATGGCAGAATATTTAAAGTGTGGAATGAAACCACACTTATGAAACCCTTATTTTGCAACGAGATAAAGGTGAAACTTGGATAAAGTTTCACCTCATTTCCCACTATCTTCTGCATCTTTTATGAGAGAAAACAAAAAGCTAAAACTGCAAAATGATGGAAAATTCAGAGGAGCAGGAGTTCAGTTGGAAAAAGAAAGCAGCTTTTATTGAAGTTTCATTAATCAGATAAAGGTTTTTTCAAATCCCACATTTGGTTTCAATGTTCTGGTATCAGAGCAGAAAGTTTTTCACTAGAGCAGATTAAAGATGAAGAAGTCGTGAACCTTTAACCTTTTCCCGAATCGGAAACCAACTTCAGCTTCGTCTTTAATCTACCTCTGTTGTGTTGAAATGCTTCCACTCTTTGGAAACTTTTCACATATTTTTCCCAAGGAATTTATGTTCAGGCACACCCAGATATCAGCTGCGCTGCGCCTCCTGCTTAGCGGTCAAGAAGCAGTGGAAAATAGCTGCTAAAGGAATTATTGGAAGCTCTAAATTAAGTAAACTACCCGAAAAGGCTGTGGGAAGAAGGGAGTGGGACTCTTATTGGGGAATACTGGAATTCCCGGGCTGGACACTGTGGGAAAAAAAACATTGTGGGAGGAATTTGAGGCTAAATTCAAGAAAAACTCCAACTTGTTGCCTTCTGTCCAACTGCATGGGCCTTTTGTCTTCAATTCTGGCATCAAATATAGACAAATAGACTGAGTTCCCCCATGTTTTAATTACTGTTTGTTGAGAAACGGCTTATCCTGCTGCGCTGGGTCATTAGGATTAGCCCTCAGTGTGGTGTTGCTTTCCATTCTCCTGCAGGAGAAAAAAACTCAATATCCAATCTGTCACAAGCCATTCTGCAGCGAAACAATGCCTGGCTGCAATAATGGCCTCCTAAATGGATTCATTCTTGTCCACAAACATAATCTGCTGTAACAAAAACGAAAAAAAAACTCAAACAATACACCTGAGTTATTATTGGTTTTATAAAACGAGGAACGGCTCCCACCAAGGTCACAGTTTGAATTCATAGAGCTTAATTAGACTTCAGGTGATGAATTGAAACACAGACAACAACGAGCACAAACAGGAATATAAACTCGTACTTCAGAGGGAATCTAGGATTCATTTTTAGCACTTTATGCTTTTAACCCTACGCTTTACGTTTAGTCATGAAGATAAATGTTTTCCCCAAGCTGCAGCTGGAGCAGAAAATAAATGTGGATCTCCAAACTCCCAGCTCTGTTTTTCTACATTTAGCTAAAAGTGCTGATTTGCATTTCTGTCTCCTCTGCAGCTTCCATCCCCCTGGTGTTTCGTGATACCGCCTGTATGTGAAAGGGGGGGAAAATGAAGTTAGTTTAACTAAATTTCCTCCTCAAACACGAGTTCGGCTGCTTGATGAACCCTGGCGTCTGTCTCTGTGTTTCTTCCAGGTGTGCTGAGTCTGCCGGAAAGTTTGAACCTGCACCGAGACCAGCAGCGCTCAGGGAGAGGCGGCGAGGGTCACGGGTACTCCCAGGCCGAGCTGCGCACGCTGGAACAGTCGCTGCTGGCAACCCGAGTGGGCAGCATCGCGGAGCTGAGTGAGTGGAGCTTCCTTTTTCTTACACAGCATTGACAAGTTTTGTTTTTTAGAGGAATGAGTCAGCAGACAGCAGGCAGAGCCGTGTTAGCTTGGAGAATCAGATGGAAACTCATGTGGGAGACGAGCTTAGTGTTGATTATTGTAAAGTGAACTCCTCCCATCTCACACTTTCCTCACTGTGCAAACTAACAAATAAATAAATGCAGCTCTGAAAAAGAAGTAGGAGCACATTGCATTGAACCACATTGAAAATCTCCTGGTTTTTCCTCCTAATATTGATTTCTGAACTCTTTCTTAGTTGAAACATTAGTATTATTGTTTCTTTGCATTATCTGAGGTCTGAAAGCTCTGCATCGTTTTCATTATTTTGACCTTTCTGCTTTAACTTCAGAGACATGCTGTCAGTCGTTCATAGAATAAAAGAATAATGTTCATTTCACTCAAAAAGAAACTTTTAAAGAGTAAAATCAGAGAGACTGATCATTTTAAATAACTTTGAGAAAGCAGTGAATTTTTGAAAGAGCGAAGTTTTGAGAATAAAGACATGAAATCCTGATTTCAAACTGAAAGATGAGAGCTTTTGAATTATGGCGGAAGAATTTAACTGAAGTTAAAGAAGCTTAAAAATTTATTTACAAAGGATGTGCAAATGATAATGATCTTGGTACAAGAAATTTGTGGAGATGGTACGGAGAAATACACGACCAAACTCTCGTAAAAAGACACTCAAATCAATAAATTACTTTATTCAAAGTTCAATTTGATTGCCGATGAAATCAAACTAAAAACACCTGAAAAAGAGAAGAAAATATCAATATAAAGGAGTTTTTCTTTCCATTTTTTTTTGCAATCAGTGAATAGTTTTGTTCGGGAATTTGTTGTTCTGCTGCAGATAAACATTACAGATTCAAAATGTCACTGTGACCCGTTCAAATGTTTCATCACAAGTGAATAAAAAGCAGAATGCAGGAGGTTTCTGTGTGAACCTCGATGGCATTTGACGAACAACAAGCTTTTGTTGCAGACATTTAAAGATGAATTTAAATTTTTCTCTTTGTTCTCGAAATTTAAAGTGACTTTTCATTCAAAAGGAAGACGCTGGTGAAGCTCTGTAATGACTGAGCGCTTAGCTAAACCGGACTCCTTTGTCTATGCAAATTTACGCTTTATTCTGCTTCACAGGGAGCTCAGCCTGTCAGTTTTTCTCCTTGTTTGACGTGAATATTTTGGATTTGTACGTCATGTCCCAGTTGCTCCTGGGCGGAGGAATGAACATGGCCGCTCCCTCCGGCTGTCGCGGTCGCCCTGCTGTCCGACGTCCCTCTGACACTCAGCAGCCAGGATCCTGCGTGCTGCAGCTGGTCCGACACCTGTTTATGATCCACGCCCGGGGAATCCTTTAAATCCAAGGTCATCGCCTCCCAGGGTTTCAACCTCCACTAGCAGCGAAACGCTTTAACTCTTTGTTTCTCATATTAGAGCCGACCGTCCCCCGAAGACGTTTGAACAGTTGGTGGCGGAGTCCTTGTTCATTTATCCTGTTTGCTTTAACCCTAAAGCCCATTGCAGAACCATAAATCATCGCGATTCCAGCGGTGAATTCCAGGTCTGTTCTTTGACCTGAGAGCCGTTTGTGAGGCATGATGTCGTTTATCAGGGGGAAAAGTACTTTGCTCTAAAGGTCTTGAGTCATCCTCCATTTCTTTTTATTTTGCTCAGACTCATAATCCTATAAAGCGATCTGGAAGAAAAGATCCTCAGACTTTCTGAAGGTCCTTCAAAGTTTTTATTGTATTTTTATTAATTCAGTCCAGTACCTGCTGTTTTATTGTTTTGTTTTTTTTAATTTATAACTCCAACTTGTATGACAGCATTTTGGCATAAATTTGAGAATTTTTCTAGAAAAAATTAGGACATTTCTGAGTTTGAAAAGTAAAAAAATTGCTTAAAAAAGCAAACAAACTCAGATGTAAAATAAAAAAAAGAAAAGAAGCAGTGAAAGACTGAAAGAAATTATAATTAGGATACCTTTCAAAGGTTACAAGACAATTTGGGGATTTGTGTTTATCACAGAGTTTATCACTCTGCCAGATCTTATTCCTTACAAATGATGTTTTTCCTGCAGTAATTTTAGAAACTAAAAAAATAATCTGGTATTTATTAATGTAACAGGACACCAGCAGCCGCAACTCAGCTGTTTCCAGGCAACTGTAATCATTAATATGCACAGACTAATAATGTGAATAGTCACTCATCAGCCTATTTAATGCAAATACAGTTTCAGTAAATCCTGCATCATATAAGAAATTGTTTCACTAAACCACATTTCATTTTAATACCTGTATATTTTGGATATTAATCCAATTTTAGAATATTGGAAAGAAATATGCCTGGTGAAATTAATAAGACTTTTTAGATGCTGTAAATTACAAATCCAGTTTATTATCAGCATCGCTCTTCCTGTAGAGACTTTCCTCTGCCTGAGTTAAACATTCACACAATCCAGCGAACACAAACTGCTTGCAAGTGTAAGTTTAGTGGATCTGAACATTTTCTCCTCATGTTGCTTTTTGTGAACAGATTGATCTTCAGTTAACGAATCACTGAGTAACACGAGTGTGCATCTGCTTAGCGAGTGTACATTATGACTGCATCAAGAGTCCTACTGCCAACATGTTCCTCCATCTGCCTTTTTGCAAAAGAGAGGAAAAATTCACCAAAGCTGATGAGTCTTGATACAGACGCAGTGAGACCTTTATTCAAATAATTGCATCTATTTAACTTTCAGCCCTTGCAGGGTGACGCCTGGATACCAAAAAGCTGCTTCACAGTGAAACTATGGGTGAAATTTGAAAATGTGGTTGCTCAGTTAAATAGTAATAAAGGGAAAGGGAAGATATGTCATTCTTTCTTTATTGTTTTAATTATTTGAGGAATAATTATCAGGTATCCAGCAGGTGGCAGTAATTAAAAATTAATGGATGCTAGCTGCCGTTCAAATCTAAAGAAGAAGAATACCATCGGATTTAGCTGTTAAATTGTCGATATTACGCGTTAAAAGGGACGATGCTTTGCTACACTATGATAACAAGAAGAGTAAAAACTTTTAATTAAGAAAAAAATAATTAATACAGATTAATTACGCCAAGCCTGATGTTTACAGGTACTTATTACCAAAAATATTTTAATTTAGTAGAAGATGAGAATTTCCATCCAACCAATGACGGACCTGAAATGGAAAGCATGTTTAATATCTGCTTTATTTTCAAACTTTAAATCACAATTCAAGGGTGTTTTTTTTTTTTTTGCAAAAAGTTAGATCTTGCAACAGAACAGCGATATTCATATTGCAAAAGAAAAAAAACAATCCAACTGTTTAAAAACACTAAAAAATTACAATTATTAACAGCAATTTATAGACATTTGGGAAAAACTACAGCTTAAAAAAGGCATATTCAATATGAAGGCAGCATAAAGGTGTTATGCTTAGTCAATTTTGCTATAAAAAAAAAGTGCCTGCTCAGATAAACTGGAGTGATACATAATTCATTCCAGTTCCTGAACCATCAGTCTTCCCCTGTCGCAGATGAAATATGGTCCAGAGCAGCAAAGATGAGATATAAGATGGCAATTTTCCTCCCGGAGCACTGTGGATAAATAAATACTTGCTGTTATTACATCTCTCAGACAGATATAAAATAGTGTGGTGTCTGTTTAATGGTGAAATGTGTCCTCCTCTTCAAACATAGGATGGGAAAAAACGGTCACCGCCTGGCAAGATATAACATGACCCTCTTTTTTCTTTTGCTTAAAAAAGCACAAAAGAAGAGACGCCAGGTTGCTTTAAATAGACCAACTTTATAGTTTTGTTTTTGTTGGGCCAATCAAGATACAAATATCAAAGTTAGAGCTCCAAATGAGGAGGGAACAGTCAGGATCGTCCTGTTCTCTTAAATAATTTAAACAAGCAGCCTGATGTGAACTTATTATTCAAACAGCCTGAGGATGCACATAAAGAGATCATTCAGACTCAACTAATAAATATTACTTACTTTGAATTTTCCTTGCTTCCTCCACTTGTTAATTTACTAAAACAAAAAAATTAACAGCAATGTTCTGAAAGATGTCGATAAAAATTTTCCAACTGATGCATTTTTAATCTGTGATGGAAATTCTTGAGCTCAACCAATATTGTTATGTTTCCACCTTTTAAAAACGAGAACCTCCAGCCTGAATCTGCAAAGTCTGCTGTTTTTTTATGATTTAATGCAACTTTCTGCTTCAGTTTGACTCCTCCACAACAGCAGTTCAATAAAAGTTCAGCTGAAACTATATGATTATATAAGGTGGTTATTATATTCCAGCATTATTTTTAGCAACTATTGATCTTATTCAACTTATACTGTGACAACTATTCAACCTTTTTTATATTTAAAACTTTAACATAATGAATTACTTTCTCTCTAAGCTCCTTAAAGCAAAATATAAATGACAAAAATGCTTGTTACCTATTTATATTAGAAATTGTTTATTATTCTGCTAATAACTGTGCTCTAATATTTTCTTAATTCTGAAGAAAAATGATCATATCTGGTGTTTTTTATCCATTTTTGTTTTAACTTGAGATTATGCAGGAACTATAAGATATTTTTATCTTTTTCTTCTTTTTTATACTTTTCATCTTTGTGATTTATTTTCTTTCAATCCCTGCAGAAGTTGTAAAAACCTGAGTGAAGTTTTTCCACCAGCTTCTTGAAATTAGACAAAAATTGTGTTAAAATTTTTGATTGTGGCACTATCATTTTAAATACATGAAGAAATGTTTCCAGAGGTCGTAGAAGGTCAACCAAAAAACATCAAATAAACTTGGCTACATTTGCGCAGCAACAATTTTTGTTTGTACTGCTTTGCCTACCAAGATATTAATAAAAGTTTAAAGGTCAAAAAAATCAACCAACCCACACTTTTACAAAATCATTAATAAAATGTCATTAATAT